CTCATTCCCACAAAGACACTCTGATCTTTAGATAGAGGCATGATTTACTGCTTTTGGTCAGCAGTTGACCACATGGTTCCCCCCCCCCCCCAAAGCTTCCCGAAATCACATGAGTGCCCTAGAGCGCTCCTATATTAATATGCCTTTCCTGTTTTATTGGCAACTAAATGAAACAAGTTTGGCACCACTGGTGGGATTCAGCCAGTTCGCACCACTTCGGGAGAACCGGTTGTTAACTTTCTGAGCAGTTTGGTGAACTGATTGTTGGAAGAAATCATTAGGGCAGAGAACCGGTTGTTAAATTACTTGAATCCTGCCACTGGTTGGCACTCTCTTCTTTTGAGATGGTTTTCCAACCTCCAAGTCAAGTTTATAGCCCTGGAATTCCCAGTGTTTCCTATCCAAATATTAACTGGATCCAATCTGCTCAGTTTTTTCAAGGTCACCAAAGGTTGGCTAGATACCATCACCTGCTGTAATTGGGGAGTAATTATATTAACCATAATTAGTTACATTTCTGTTGAAATATAAATGAAATGAAACCAAGTTTACTTTTCTGCCCTGACTCCTGGCACGTCACTCAAAATCAAAGTGCGGCCTTTGGTGGCCCAAATCGTCATGCATTCCTGCTGCAAACATTTAGAAGTCTTTAAATCCAATCACAAATAAAGTGTTATCCAATTAAACATTGGTCTGCACATATTTGAATGAATTGCTCTGAGGTGTGGAAAGCTCTGCTGTGGTAAGAAAAATGTAATTAGTTTGTTAAATATAATTCTTCTTCTGAGAAAAGAACCTATTAAGAATTCTGAGTAAGCTGAAAAGCTTCAGTAATCTTTAATCAACAAGAGTTAGTGCAATAAAGGTTTGCTTTTGAAGGTAGCTTCATATCATTCCAGCTCTGTATTAAATATTCTGAACTCAAAGTTGCTTCTCCAAAACTGCCAAGCATGCTTATTTCCTATCCTTCTGTTGAAGCTCAAATAGGTGTGACTGAACTATGGACCTTATGAATGGAAACAAAAGCTGTTTGTGAGTCACTTCCTAGCCTTGCCTAATTCAACCGTCAATATTATAAAACACACAGCAAATCAATGTTATGGTATAAATATGTTCTTGTCAGATACACACAATCCAGAGGTAGTATTCAGCAGGTTTTGACCAGTTCTAGAGAACCGGTAGCGGAAATTTTGAGTATTTTGGAGAACCGGTAAATACCACCTCTGACTCGCTCCTCCCCCATTTATTCTCTGCCTCCAAAGTCCCAGCTGATCAGGAGGGAATGGGGATTTTACAGTAACCTTCCCCTGCCATGCCCACCAAGCCACGCCCACAGAACCAGTAGTAAAAAAAAATGAATTCCACCACTGACACAATCCAATCAGAAGTACAAAAGTGGTCTGTATGGAGAACAAAGAGCTTTAAAACCAAAAGAAACTGCTCTTTTGGGCTTGAAATTAGCTGGAGGCCAAGAATCTGAGACAGCAGTTTTGCTAGGAAAATGACCTTTTGGAGTCATAAGTCTAAGCTTCTTAAAAGAAGCTTAATTTCCTCCCCACACAGACATTTTAGCAAATCAGTTATCCAAATGCAGTAGATAATGCCGATTTACCACTATAAAACATTCTGTGTTGGAGACTTGCAGCAAGCCCGCAGAGTTCACCAAATAAACCAGAGTAAACTTTTACGGTTTGTTTGTTTATTTGTTTGTTTGAATCCCTAGTGCTGAGTAATGGAGTGAGCTCCTGTTACTTGTCCCAGCTTCTGCCAACCTAGCAGTTCGAAAGCAGGCAAAAGTAAAAATAGAAAAATAGGAACCACGTTTGCTGGGAAAGTAACAGCATTCCATGCGCCTTAAGCGTTTAGTCATGCCATCCACATGACCACAGAGACGTCTTTGGACAGCGCTGGCTCTTTGACTTTGAAACGGAGATTAGCACTGCCCCCTAGAGTCAGGAACAACTAGCGCATATGTGCTACTTTTACCTTAAACTTTCAAGGTCTTATTCAGACCATGGGGTTATTATCTCTGGGGAGCTTACAGAGAGCTAGCCTCTTTTCATGGTAATATGTGCTCTGACTTTTCCAAACTGCTATTCTCTCAACGCGGTGGCACCACAGATCTCAAAATTCATGGCACTTTCAGGAGCCCAAGTTTTAGGGAAACGCAACACCGCTTGTGTTCATACTTTTGAACTAATTCACAAAAATGCTTAGTTTGCTTTTAGCGGAGTAGGACATGTGTTCCCAGCAAGTGTGGTTTCGGAATTGTGGTTTTGACTCAGTGAAAAATAAAATCAAAATGACAATAAGTCAACAAGTCAGAGTTAAAATGATAGGGAAACTTTTTTTAAATTCCAGGAATTTCACCAGCTATAGACAAGGAACAGAAATGGTTTTCCATTGGAAAATGAAGAGGAAAATTGGGATATTAAAGAGAGGCTTAATAAATCCAGCAAAGCTGCACGCTTCTATATTTTACTACTGAATTTTGGGGAGGTGACTTATGAGGGCTCTTGGGGCCATAAAAGGAGACTTGGGGTTCCATGTAGCCACTAGCTGTCCTAATTTAAGCTAATGTGAGTAACTGCCCACCTCATTTGTTGTCTGCTGTATGATCAGTCACTTGACAGTCATAACTGCATTACCAGGGAAGGTGGCTAACATCGTTTTATTCCACCCAAAAATAAGGTATCTGCAGATACTCTTTTATTCTTTGTGCATCTGACGTAGTCCACGAAAAAGTCTGCTGTAATAAATGTGAATTCTAATCAACAAACATTAACACTACAATAAATCAGTTAGTTATTAAAGGGTTGCAAAACTGCTGATGCTTTAAACCTTATTCCAATCATACTTGAACGTCCTCAGTTATCGGGATCCAGGTTTCACTTACCTTGTAGCCAAATAGGAAAAGTCCAAAGAAAAGACTGTAGAGATCAGCTGTCAGGATGCCCAAATTGACGGAGGTGGCACTGGTCACTCTAATCACAATCGGCATGAAGCTGTACAGGCCAAACATGCACAAGGCAAAAGCCACAAAGAGCAGGGCTGGAGAAGAAATCAACAACTTGTCAGTTTATAGATTGAATCTCAAGAAGATAAAGGTGGGGTAAGGTGAAACACCAATACTGAGAAATTGCTTCTTCCCCCCCCCCCCCCCCCCCCGCCCCATCACCAATACTTTTGTAAAACTGTCGGAATCTATGTCAGGGATGTCAATGTATGTCAGGAGCCAGATCGGGCCCATGGGGTGCTTAGATCTGGCCCATGGAGCCAATCTGGAAACAGTGACAGACTGGCCCGCGGTGCCATTGGCAGCAAAAATGGAACTCCATTTTCACTGGCAGAGGTTCGTCGCAGCCAAAAACGGAGCTCAGGAGCCCATCTTCACTGGCAAAGCACTCAGGCCACTAAAGGTGCCCCCGACACAAGTGAGGTTGAGTTGGCCATGCCCAACCTGGTCACACCCACCTCAGTCCCCCGAGCAAGGTTGGGTTCTGGCTGCTGCTACTGCCGGTTTGCTCAGGAACGCGCATGCGCAGTCGTAAAAAAAATATGTAAACCTACTTGGCCAAACCGGTCCAAACCGGTAGGAACCTACCTCTGCCCCTGAGGTCAAAAACAACCCTAATGTGGCCCTCAATGAAATGAGTTTGACACCCCTGATCTATGTGCATATTGTCCCAAAACAACAATCCCTAACCGCTGATCTTGCTGGCTGGCAATGAACAGTAGCCAAACAACAGATGGGAATTCAAGACTGCTAAATTAAACACTTATTGACAATTAATGTTATATCCACAGACTTATATAGCAAATGGAGATGACCTCAAAATGAAGACATATACAGAGTAACTTCATTTTGCATTTATTATGCAGGGAAGATTGAGTTTAATTGTACTGATCCTTTATATTTGATGCAAGCAGAATATCTGGATTTTACACAGGTTTTTTTTAAATTGTTAACTACATAGCATTGCAAAACAAAAAAACAATCCTCTCTAGCCCCACTTTGTTATTTATTTTAATTCACTAGGTAACATAATGAAAGTAGGCCTGATTTGCAAAACAATTCAGTTTATTGTTCCTGTTCCAACACTCATACATACCAATTTTCCAGTTCCACTGAATATTAGCTATGTCTCTGTGTTCCACAATAGCTCTAAAAATGGCAGGGGAAAAAGAGGAGGAAGAATAAAAACAGAAAAGAAATGCTCAATAAAATGTGAGGCTATTGTTTTCAGAGTCTAGAATAAAATAACAAGTAATAGATTAAATTAATAGACAAATCATCTTATAACAAATTAACCTTTACTTAAAAGTTAGTTCCACATCTAATGGTCATAATGTATAGAATTACAGCTTTTAGACACATTTTCTTGCTCCTTAAAGAAGAACAGATTTATATCCGCGTAAACCTTTAGAGAAAGGAGTCCAATTTGTCAAATAAATTTTCTTAAAATAAAACATTGTGCTACAAAGTGTTGGGGGGGGGTAGGATTCAGATGATGGTGATATATTAAATATGTAATAAGTTTTTGATGGGTTGAAAACCGTAACACACAAGTTAAGAGGGTTTTTTTTTTAAAGAACCCAGAACTTTCCAAAGCTCAACTAAAAATCTATAAAATGGTTTTATTGCATTCAAGTACATAAGTGTATATCTCAACACTTGGCGTATCAAAAAACAGATATTCATAGTACAGGACAAGAAGTTTACTAACTGAAACATATTTACTTGTTAAATCAATCAAGAATTAAATCAGGACAGAGAGGATTAAAATGGAAATTAAAAGCCTACTTATTTAATAATCCTTCCACGTCCTTTTCTCAAAGTTAATCAGCATTTATAAAGAAGCTAAAGAAGTATATTTATTCTTTAACAATTTTTTTCTCAAAGTTAATCAGCATTTATAAAGAAACTAAAGAAGTATATTTTTTCTTTAACATTTTTTTCTCACTTCTTTTTACCAGAAATCTGTTCTAAAACAAAAGTGTGTGTGTATGTGTGTGCGTGTGTGTGTGTGAGAGAGAGAGATTAGAATAGAATAACAATTGATTTAGTCATTTGACTATATCAAAAGTATAAAACTGGTCCAAATATACAAGTAGATGCAAAGAAAACAATAGTTCATAATATGTCATCACCCCTACAGTTAAGGCCTGAAGTAAATCCATTCCCTTCTAAATGGCCTTTGATATGTAAGAGTGTGATCTTACTAATAATATGCAGGTTTGTTCCCTGACCTCCCTTGAACTATTTCAGTTATATAAGGAACCACACCCAGAAATTCAGCTTGCTATTAATATTAAGTATTACTTAAGAAACAGTACGGAGAACACTGTGCTAGCAGCTAATTCCCAGCTTCAGACTTTATTAGTCTAGTTATTACAATCAAATAAGTCAGTATGGAGAATGTGAATCCTTTTATAAACAGCAAGTCAGTCCATATGACAAGAAACATGAGAAGAACTGTTTCAAATCATTCAGAGAGATTCTGTAATTTTAGTCACCGTACTATTTAAAAGATGCTGAGACTTTGGAAAAAGTTCAGAGAAGAGCAACTAAGATGACCAAAGGCCTGGAGACTAAACCATATGAAGAACAGCTGCAGGTTTTTGGGTCTGGCTAGTCTAAAGAAAAGAAGAATTAGGGGTGACATGATAGCAGTATTTCAGTATCTGAGAGGCTACCACAAAGAAGAGGGGGTCAACTTATTCTTCAAAGCACCAGAGGGCAAGACAAGAAATACCAGTTGGAAACTAAACAAAGAAAGAAGCAACCTGGAATTAAGGAGAAACTTCCTAACTGTGAGGACAATCAATCAGTGGAACAGCTTGCCTTCAGAAATCGTGGGGGCTCCATCACTGGAGATTTTTAAGAAGAGCCTGGACAGTCACTTGTCTGACATAGTACAGCTTCTCCTGCTTGAGCAGAGGGCTGGACTAGAAAACCTCCAAGGTCTCGTCCAGCTCTATTGTATTCAATTCTAATTCTAATTCTAACTATGTAATTACAAATAAGAGTTGGAAAATTGAAGGACCAACATAGATGTCTTACAAATTCTAAAGTAAATAAGCAAACCTAGAAATGAAACAGTGAGATGAACAGTTGAATTTCTGCTTACTGAAACTGTAAAAGATAAACAGTCAGTAGCAATGATTGCAGAAAGTCAGGATCTGAACTTACTAATGGTTAACCTCACAGAATCTTTAATTCCATGACTAATTCTATGAAAGTCAAAGCGATTATTTGCATGAATAACCATTGGCTGGACTTGACAATCCAACCGACTGCACAATCAGCTCATAAACGGATGAATACTGAATTCAGGCTATGAAATGTGCACATTAGATCAGCCCAGCAAATCAAAACTTATTCATCTTCAGATGTTAAGGTGCAATCTGAGAGCTTCCCCTGTAACCTTGTGTCCTGTTTACTATGGAAGGTAAGAGGTACACATAGGAAAAGACACAAAAAGTTGAGGAGAAGCAATAAATATAACAAAACTTGATGATGGCCCAAGTCAAGAAATGTGAAGATCTCGCCTGGTTACACCCTTGCAAGCCTACAGATGCTCAAACACCCACAAAGGTTAATTGCGATGTTAACACGGGATTAATAATTACACCCATCCAATACATAAAAGAGAAACCATTCTGTGATGTGAATGTTTTTCTTAATTACAATTGCAATACTTAATAGTAGATCCTTACAGCTGCAGACCGCTGAGAACAGTCCCAAACAAGCCCACCATTCCTAGAAACTCCATTCTGCTCAGATTTTTCACAATGTATTCCTCACTCACATTCGAAATGGCATATAATGAAGCGCCAAGGAGGACTAAGACATCTCCAATCACTACGTCACTTCCTGCACAGAAAACAGAGACAATAACAACACAGGGAATTTGAATGGTAAAATTAAAAAGGGTGATTAATAACATTTTCAATATTGAAGTCTTTATGAGGAGACTCCTTTCTCCTTCTTCTTCTATATATATAAAAATGGCTGCGTGTATGTGTGTGTGTTCCAGCATAATACTGGAACGCCTCAAACAATCTCAACCAAACTTGATACACAGATGACTTACTCTCTGGAAACAAATACTGTGGGGGTAAAGGTAAAGGTTCCCCTTGCACATATGTGCTAGTCGTTCCCAACTCTAGGGGGCAGTGCTCATCTCCGTTTCAAAGCCGAAGAGCCAGCATTGTCCAAAGACGTCTCCGTGGTCATGTGGCTGGCATGACTAAATGCCGAAGGTGCACGGAACACTGTTACCTTCCCACCAAAGGTGGTTCCTATTTTTCTACTTGCATTTTTTTAATGTGCTTTCAAACTGCTAGGTTGGCAGAAGCTAGGACAAATAACAGGAGCTCATTCCATTACGTGGCGCTAGGGATTTGGACCACCAAACTGCTGATCTTTCCGATCGACAAGCTCAGCGTCTTAGCCCCCGAGCCACCCCTAACACTCCTCTGGGTATGTGTTCTGTTAAGATACAGCCTGTTGTGCCTTAAAATGGCTTCTACTGTACTGCCATAAAATAGCTTCAACGGTACAGCCCAGTGGAGTTGCCATGGTAATGGCTTCACAGTACTCCACAAGGGGGTTCCCCCTGGAGAGGGGGAAAATTCAATATTAGAAATTGCATTTGGTCCGGATATTTTCAATAAAATCAGGACTTTTCCCGTCTAATACAGGATTAGGATAAATAAATACCCGGGCAACAGTATGTGGCCCTCAATGAAATTGAGTTTGACACCACTGGGCTATTCCTTTCGAATGGAAGCATCTTGGTGCTTTCTAAACAAATATAAATGAGGGGACCCTGGAGTGCTGTGGTTCATGGGGTGGTAAAGAGTCGGACACAACTTAGCGACTGAAGAACCTTTTAATTCAATCAGTGTAAAAACTGATGAGCAGCGAATTCTATTTGATAAGATATTTCTGTATAAAGCAAAGTATTACCTGATCTTGGATATTTTAAGAACTCCAGCAGAAACCGCACATTCAGTTAATGTCAATGATTATCTTGTCCAGAATCTTAGATTTCCTCCCCACATCTCTCTCTGTATTTTGCATTAATGGCTTAATTTAACTTTCCATGAAAATCAATAGATCAATCTCCTTAAGAGCTAGACCAAAGTTCTGCATTTCAGAAAGGTTCCAAAGGGATGTTATTTTATTTTATTTTCAGGCCAAGATTTTTAGTCCTTGTTTTACTAAGCCTTGATGCAACATGATCCTATTAAGAACCTTGCTCAATGTCCAAATTGTTCTTTTCAACAGAAATGCACATTTTTTATGGGCGGGGGATATTTTTCCAGGCAGAGCAACAAGTCTTTTAAATAAGTGATATTAAACAAATGAAAAATTTCTGAGGACTACGTTGCTATTGTAAGAGGGTTAAGAGCTATTGGACTTCTGCCTATCATTAGGGCAGACTTCAGCATGTGGGTCCTTTATTGAACTTATGATTTTATCTAGAATATGAATCTCGTACTTAAAAAAAAAAACACGTATGAAACTTAAAAGGTAGGTGCAGCTTCCAGGGAAGAAATTGTGAGCCGAAGATGGTTCTGCTAAAAGCAGATTCAAAGATTTGCACCACAACGAAAAGTCAGCCAGTAGACCAGTTCTTCATAATTCCTCTCCAGGTAAGAAGAGGACGTAAGATCACTGACAAGGGCTCCAAACTGTTGCTCCTTACAAGGAGACTGCAAAAGAGTGTTTTCTGGAAGCTATGAGAAACAAGGAAATAGCCATCTTTGGCTCAAACTGGGAGGGGGGGGAAGGTCAGTATATTCTAAAGGACACAGAGTTCATACTCCGGTAATCCCTGATTTACAACCATTCATTTAGTGATGGTTTCAAATTACATCAACATTGAAAAAAGTGACTTATGACCGTTTTTCATACTTACAACCATTTCATCATCTCCACAGTTACAAGATCAAAATTCAGACGCTTGGCAACTGACTCATATTTATGATGGTTGCAGAATTCCAGAGTCATGGGATCCCCTTTTGCAACCTTCTGATAAGCAAAATCAATGAGCAAGTCCAATTCACAAAACAACCGTGTTACTGCAGTGATTCACTAAACAACAAGCAAGAAAGGTCATAAAATAGAGCAAAACTACTTTTAGAACATAGAATAACAGAGTTGGAAGGGACCTTGGAGGTCATCTAGTCCAAACCCTGCTTGAACTGGAACAGTGCCATCGTATCTGCCCTAGTCCTTCTTAGCGACAGAAATTTTGGGCTCAGCTGTGGCCATGAGTTGAGGACTATCTGAACTTTATTTTCTAATCACTTTGGGAAATTGCTTTTAATTGCTTTTCAGCTATGAAGAATCTTTGGATCGGCAAGTCTGAAAAACTTTTTGAAGATTCCTTTAATCTTTAGTGAAAGATGTTCCAAATACATGTTTAAGGACTTCAAACATATTTTTTTGGGAATGAACAAAAAAAAAGAGTAATTAGAAATTTGATTAGAAATGAACTAAGGGCCCAGATGGATTTTGGAGTCCTTCACATAGAAAATTCTTTTGTTTTGAATTCTTAAAAAAATAAACATGATAGGATAAGCCTTTGAAGGTTGAACACCAGAAGGGAAGCTGAAGGAACAAAGATTACAAGGAGAAGAACACTTACATTTCACTTACTCATATAGAATGAAGCAAAATATTTTAACGCTGGACATCTCAAAGGATATTTTTGAATAATGGGCCCCAAAGTTAATATTTAGAATATCTTCCTCTATAGGCAGACCATATTTAAAAGATGTTATGCCAGAGGGATAAATTACTGGACAAGGGTGCGGACAATCTGAAAGGATTAAGAAATAATAGGCTTCAAGAATGGTATGGAAAAAGATGCTACACTAGATATATTAAAAGAAACTGGCTGATGTCTTAATTATAACAGACACACAAGTAGCAAACCAAGAGACCTAGATAATTTTTCCAATTACATAAGAGGCCTCTTAAAGCTTTAGAGAATTGTGTGGCCGAGTTAAGAACTGTATGAATAGAGGGGTTGGCAGCAAAGGGCTGGATTTTATTTCCCATTCCCCAAGAACTGCATGGAATAAGGGATGGAATACGGTGGCAGGGAGGGAGGGGTCTCAGATGCTTTCCTCACCACAAATGTCAAACCTTGGAGGAAGACAATTGCTCCCTATGTTTTGGAGAAGAGCACAGGACAGTGATGGCGAACCAATGGCATGCGTGCCACAGGTAGCACACGGTGCCCTCTCTGTGGGCCCGCGAACCGTCATCTCAGTTCTGCTCTGCCGCGCATACGTGCATGCCACCTTGGTCTTCGGGTCTCTGTTGCACCTGCACGGGGGGTGGGGCATGTCTGGGGGCCCCACACGCACATGCATGGAAGTGGGGCATGTGCGGGGGTGAGGCGCATGCAAGGAACAAGGCACATGCGGGGTCGGGGGCCTGGAAGTGGCTTTGCACAAGCATTGGGGGAGGGGTCATGCGGGGGCCACATGTGCATATGTGGGATGGTGAGGAACATGCACGGGGCCAGCCCATAAATTGCATTTTGGTGGTTCGGACACATTCTTGCGCACGTGTGAGCTTTAGGCACTCAGTCCATCACTGGCATAGTAGAGTGATGGCTAACCTTTTTCTCCACATGTGCTGAAATTGTGCACATACACAGCGCATCTTCCCACACCCATAATGCAATGCGCCCTGACCCTTGCGCATACATGCTCCCCCATCCTTCCCCTTCACATGCGCATGCCCCCATGCCCCATTTTTGGCCTAGCAGGCCTCCCTGAAGCCTCCTGAGACCAAAAGCCAAGCACAGGAGCACACACACTCCCGCCCGCTCCCCCTGTGCATGCATGTGACACCCCCCCACACTTTCCCTGTGCATGCACACACCCCCATGCCCCATTTTGGGCCTAGCAGGCCTCCCTGAAGCCTTCTGAAAGCAAAAATGTGATGAGAAAGGATGTGCCATGCCCGTGCTCCCCCCACGCCCCCGTGCATGCACATGTGTCTCCCGCATGTCCGGCAGAGACCTAAAAATCAGTTGGTTGGCGAGAGGAATGCACAGTAGAGCTGAGCTGGGTGACAGCTCACGTGCCCACAGAGAGAGCTCCATGTGCCCCTGTGGCATGCATGCCATAGGTTCACCATCACAAGCATAGGATATGCTGCAGGAGAAGCAAAAAACAGTAAGCTTTTTTGCAGCTAAGGTGAAAAATCTGAAGCACAGTGATACTGTAAGTATCTTGAATAGCAAAATATGAATTAAGGATTTTTCTCTAAGCTACCTCCCCCCCTTCTACTATCTAAAGAAAGCAGTAATTGTATATCTACTATCAGATTTCCTCATAAGAACAGTTCGTGACATTTCCATCCAAAGAGAAACTCACTCACTGTGCCAGGATAAATAAGCAATAAAAACAGAGTATTGCTGTAAGTCAGCAGCCCCCAATCATTTGGGCACCAGGGACCAGTTCTGCGGAGAAACGTTTTTCTGCTGACCCGGAAGGGGCATGGTTTTGCCTGCTGCTTACACCCCATCAATGGGGCTTCCCGTGTTTGCATGACCCAGTTTCTGGCATGCTGCGGCCCAGTGCCAGTCCACGGACTGGGGGTTAGGTAGCCTTGCCGTGACGCTCTCTACACTCATTCAAGTCATTGATCTATTAAGCCGTTAACACATGGATGGGCAATCGGTTACTTACATCCCACTGATGCTTACCACACACCCAGCTCCCTGAACATCCTCAAATGGCTCATCTTTTTGGCCCATATGTGGAATTGGAGGGATTTTTAAGGGGCAAAGCGGATTGACTTAAGTCTTGCAATGGCGTAAGGCACATTTTTTTCCCCTTTAAAATAAATCCACCCACAACAAAAATTTGGTTATGTTTTCTCAATGCACTTAGTCCTCATGACAATTGAGCCCAACATTTCTCTTGCTAAGCGAGACAATTAAGTGAGTGTCGCCCCATTTTACAATTTTTCTTGCCACAGTTGTTAAGTGAATCCCTGCCGCTGTTGTGTTAGTAACACAGTTGTTAAGAGAATCAATCTGGCTTCCCCATTGACTTTGCTTGTCACAAGGTTACAACAGATGGTCACATGACCTCACGACACTGCAATTGTCATAAACACAAGTCAGTTGCTAAGCATCTGAATTTTGGTCACATGACCATGGGCATGCTTCAATGGTCAAAACAGGAAAAACGGTGAGAAGCCTCTTTTCAGTGCTGCTGTAATTTGAACAGTCACTAAATGAAAAGCTGTAAGTTGAAGTACAACCTGTACTGTACAGCACAGTCAGCACTTGGCAATAGTAATTCTAAATATTTGGAGGTAGATTCCCCCGCTTCCCCCCATTTGTTTTTGGATAAAACCGAGAGAACAGGCCGTTTTCCTGCCAAAGATTTTCTTCTAAATTGATTTTGCTACAGGTATCTAGGTAAAAGTACCATATTTTTCAGACTATAAGAAGCACCGGAGTAAAAGACGCACCACGATTTTGAAGAGGCACATTAAAAAAAAGTTGTTGCACTCTGCAAACCTCCCAAACTCTCTGCACGCCTCATTTTTTTAAATAAAAAAACGGGACATGCATAGGCTTTGGGAGGCTTGTAGTGCTCATGGGGGTTGGGGGGCAAAAATGAGCAAAAAACAACCCATTTTTGCCCTCCCCAGCCCCCAGGAGCACTTTGCAGGCCTCCCAAACTCTGCACATCCATTTTTGCAAAGGGGGCGTGATTTTGGGAGGCCAAAAATGCTATATTCAGTGTATAAGATGCACCCAGATTTTCACCCTCTTTTTTGGGGGGGGAAAGGTGCGTCTTATACTCTGAAAAATACTCTATGTGTTCCTATGTATATATACATACACATATATATTTATCATTTAATTTAGCTTGCTAACTTTTTTTAGGGCTAAAATATCTAGGTTACTAATGAAGCACACTGACTTCTGAACTTAGCAGAGTATAAATTTCTTTTCTATCCAAACAAAAAAACTATTATTTTGTCTAGCCAGATTTTTCCGGAGAACATTCTTCACTACTAGGCACAAACCTGAGTCTCAGCCATGGATTTAAAATATTGAATAAGCCCCTTGCTGTTATCATGGTTAGAGTTTTAGCAAGTTATTTTGCCCAAATCTTACCTTCGCCATCTTGCCTTCCAGCTAATATATCCGCACCGACCATGGTCCCTACGCCCAACAGGCAAACAGCAACAGCAATGAAATGGATTAATTTATATCTTGCACGGAGGATGAACCATGATAAAGCCATCAGCACAGGAATCCCAAAACAGTCCAGGAGCTGCCATATGCAAAAAGAAAGATCCCCATCATAAAAAAGAACAGGAAGTGGTACTTTCGCATCCAGATAGAGAGCTATTCAGGTATCTGACCGTGTAAACAGCCTAAATCAGAGGTGTCAAACTCAAGGCCCAGGGCTTGGATCTGGTCTGCAGGATGTTTAGATCTGCGGGCAGAGGTGGGTTCCTTCCAGTTCGCTCCTATTCGGTAGAACTGGTTCGTCAACTCTACTGAACCGGTTAGAAGAGGTTCCACCAGTGGACCCGGAAAGCAGGTCACACCTACAGAAGAGGTTCCAAATTTTTTTGAAACCTACCACTGTCTGCGGGCCACCCTGGAAACAGAAAAAGACCAGATCGCAGTGCCTCTGCCAGTGAAAAAAGACCAAGTGTAGCCCTCCTGAGCTCCGTTTTCGCTGGCAGAGAGGTGCAGCCGAAAACAGAGCTCGGGAGCTCGTTTTTGCTGGCAGAGCACTTGGGCTACTACAGAGCCCACACACACACACACACACGGACATGAGTGACATCGAGCTGGCCATGCTGAACCTGGCCACACACACATACACACGATCAAACACAACCCTGATGCAGCCCTCAATAAAATTGAGTTTGACAAACCCTGGCCTAAATGGCTTTTACACAGTTAGAAGCAGCAATAGCAATAGCACTTAAGACTTATATACCGCTTTAGAGCCCACTCTAAGCGATTTAAAGAGTCAGCATACTGTCCCCAACAATCTGGTCCTCATTTTACCCACCTCGGAAGGATGGAGGGCTGAGTCAACCTGTTGAGATTTGAACTGCTAGATTGCAGTCAGCTGGCAGGCAGCAGAAGTAGCCTGCAGTACTGCATTCTAACCACAGAGCCACCACGGAAACTGTTTGATCTTGGGTAGATCAACCACAGCCAAGCAGAATGACACTTAGTAAATATATGAATGAGAGACCATGAGGAAGTCTAAGGACTGAAGCCTACGCTAGGGAAAAAATTCTAGAAGGCAAGTCTTTCCAGACTGTTGCAGAGAAAGCTTAATGGCTGAACTCAACTCAAAGAGATATTTTTAAATTGTCTTCAATGGAACACAGGACTATATAAACTAACTCTAAAGTCCTTCCAAAGCTGCTGATAAATTGAAAAATTAAAGACAGTTACTTTATACATAGTCATGTTATTAGCTTTAGATTAATGAAATATATTTTCCTTACTCTAAATTTAAATTAAACCAAAGTTATGCTTTGTTTTGGGAGATTTTTCCCCTCATGCCAACTATATCTTTGTCCTGGCCAAAGTTTAGTGCCCTAGTCAAACTTTTTGACAAAACTTTAACAAGATATGAATAAGAGCAACTAAAGTATGCTAATTCATGAGGTGATCGTGAGTATATTTTGAAATTAAAACCTGGCCACCACACAGCAGGAATCAAAGAGATTCTTCCTCTGATCTTTGTAATTTAGCATCCATTTCCTCCTGATTTATCCCCAAATGTCCATACCATAAGAAATAGTGTGATGTAGTGGTTAAGGTGTTAGATTAGGACTAGTAAATCCCAAGTTCAAGACTATCTTCAGGCATAGAAATTCATTGTGTAACTTTGAACCAACAACTCTCTGTTCAGCACAGTTTAAAAAGGGAAATTCTGAGCTTTGGAGGGAAGCTCAAGCAAGATATAAATTTAACAAATAAGTACTGTAGACAAGTATTTCTCAACTGTAGCAAGTTTAAGATATTTGGACTTCATGCTGGTTGGAAAACTTCATGCTGGTTGGAGAATTCTAGGAGTTGGAAGTCCACATATCTTAAATTTGCTACAGTTGCGAAACAGTTACAGANGTTCGGGAGAACAGCTGGCATTTTTGCTACCGGTTCAAGCGAACCAATCCGAACTGGGTAACATTTCACCCCTGTCCTCGCACTTATGTGCTAGTCGTGTCTGACTCTAGGGGGTGGTGCTCATCTCCATTTCAAAGCCAAAGAGCCAGCACTGTCCGAAGACGTCTCCATGATCATGTGGCCGGCATCACTAAACGCCAAGGTTCTTAGAACCTAATCATTGTTGCCAATCCTTGTTTGGAAAAGTCCTGTTCTATCCAGAAAAAAATAAAACGAAACTAGCCATGTTTGGGACATGACTAAAGGCACTAGATTAGAACCTAAAGTGTTATGTTTTAGTCCTGCCTAGGCATAAAAAGTCAACTGGGTGTCCCAGTCCCTCACTCTCAGCCCTAGAAAAGAAAGTGACAAGTCAGGATGATGCAGTGGTTAGAATGCAGCATTGCAGGCTAACTCTGCCCACAGCCAGGAGTTCAATCCTGATCATCCATTCTTCTGACTAAACCATCCATTCTTCTGAGGTCGGTAAAATGTGGACCCAGATTGTTGGAGACAATATGCTGACTCTGTAAATTGCTTAGGGATATAAAGCATTATAAAGCGGTATATAAATCTAAGTGCTATTGCTAAGAAGGTAATGGCAACAGAAACATTGGCAAGAATCTTGCATGGACTTGTTCTTGAAATCACCCAGTGAGTCACAGTTGGTTTGATGAACCATATCAGCGATAAAGTAAATTGACAGACATTCCTAGAAGACTAAGAGCAAGTGGTGATCACCAGTTTGTTTTCTGGTGAATGGTGCTATCCAATGGTGGGATGCAACCAGTTTAACAACCAGTTCGGTGAGTGTGCACTTCAATAGTTAGTTAGTTAGTTAGTTAGTTAGTTAGTTAGTTAGTTAGTTAGTTAGTTTATTGGTTTTGTATGCCACCCGTTCCCGAAGGACTTCGGGCGGCTTACAATACCTTTTTAAGCTTCAAAACTTACCTTCGATGTCAACGCCTGTGAGTAAAACAGCTAAACACGCAGCAATCCGCTGTGCTGCGCTAATTAGCTGAACCAGTGGTAAGATTCAATTTTTTTACTACCGGTTCTGTGGGCATGGCTTAGTGGGCATGGTACAGGAAGGATACTGCAAAATCCCCAATCCCACCTCACTCTGGGGCCAGCCAGAGGAGGTATTTGCCGGTTCTCCGAACTATTCAAAATTTCCACTACCGGTTCTCCGGAACCTATCAGAACTGCTGAAATTTCACTCCTGAGCTGAGCTAAAAAACAGGGGAAGTACGGGGGGGGGGCGAGGGGGGAATACTCACCGGAACTACCGGTTCACCCAAACTGGTCCAAACCGGCTGAATCCCACCCCTGATGCTATCCATCCACAGCAACTTTTGTATGAATAGGCAAACATTTTATGCCGGTAACAATGCCCATATGTGCTGTCATAATTTTAACTGTCCTCAAACATTGCTCACAACTTCTTTTGCTTATTTACTTTAAGAATCCTACCACATCTTACTTTCCCTCATTGGTCTCAGAGGCTTGTTCTTCAAATGCAAACCTATTAATTTAATGTATTATTATTTACAACAATTTTTTTCCTATACTTTTCCCCAGTGCAATATTACATACAAGTTCTAGCATTAAATTGCATAGAGGCATTTTGTTATATGAACAGCTCAATGCGTCATAACACCTAACTTTTGCCCCATGGAACACAATCAATATTGGAGATTAATAGTACATAAAAAGATGTGCCAAACAGAAGTGCTGTCAGAACGATGGAAATTAAAGAGGCAGTGCGTTCGCAAATGCTTTAGTAGCGAAGGAAGACAAAGGAGAGGGGTTTAACATTATAATATTGGAACGATGGCCAAAAATACCAGTAATATCAGCTCTGGAAATCTATTTTCCATAAAGAAAGGGCTGCAGGCATGCTTGCATAATAAGCATGTTTTTCTCTGCTAATTTTCCTAATTGTGCTACTGGGATAGCTATTGATTACCGCTTCTTATCAATTATTTATCATCCCATAAATAAAAGAATTATCTTTTGGCTGCCTTTCTCTACCCCACTTTACAATGACAGAAAAGATTAATAGCTTCTTCTTGGATGAGGTAATGGGAATGATCTCAGACAGACTTTTAGTTATGCAGAATAAGATCCTGATTTATTCTGCTGACCCAAAACCACAATAAGGGTTGTTCGCCTGTAAATATACAGTATCCTTGATCATTTGCACGTTCACTGCAAGGGTGTTATGGGTTAAAAAAATCAAATTAAAAGATGGAGGAAGGAGACCATTGTGCAAGAAATAACATTAAAGGAGGATGTGGCTGAAGGAACTGATGTTCCTAATTCTATTTGAAGGATCCTGAATGGTTGAGGGTTAGAGTGACTAAGTGTAACCCCATATCTCAAGTGGAGGCTCTTAGCAGATAACAACACAGTGTGTGAATGTAGAGAGATGCAGAACTCGGCCCATCTGTTGGTATGTTGGCTACTACCAGAAACAAGTACCAATGATGACTTATTTTTGGCCAATGACAAAGCCAAGGAGGTGGCTTCATTCTGGCACTTTAAAGTTTAATCCGGAGGTGGGGCTTGATGTCGCAACGACACGACATGCAATCTTGGGGTTCCAGGATTGCTGTCGATATCTCTGTTGCTGGACGGTCCTTTTTGGATCTAAACTGTTCTGAAGGAACGGTGATAGAGAACAGCATGTCCTGCTGATCTCAGGGACATCGCAAAGTCCCTGATCGATCCAGAAGAAAGCTCTTTTTGCCTGCTACAAGAGAAGCAGTCAAAATGGCTGCAGAAGGTTGGGACAGTCCCCTGAAATGGAAGCAGAACAGGAGAGACAGTGTGTTGAAATGGTGAGAAAGATCTTTATTATTAGAGAAGAGGAAACACAAAAGACAGTTAAAATAAAATTGAGAAGTAAATAAGCGGCAAATTAACCCTGGTTTAAAACTATCATGTTATTTTTTCCACTTTAATTTTGTTTGTTTTCTATGGATGGACCTTTTACAAATGCCTCTTACTTTTAAACTGGATTGGTCTTTTTTTTCCCTTCTTCCTCTATACTTTTTCCATTTTTTGTATTTGTGGATTAAAAGTTTCTTTCCTCGCAAGGCTCGGCCGGATCTTTAAACATTTTTTTTCCTTCTCTTCCA